ACCTGTCTCTGTTCCCTGTCACCCAGCTCTAGAGTCACATGCACACACCACAGGTGCTGGAGAGCTGAACTCAGGTCCTCCTTGTTGCGTAGTAGGCACTTTGCTGATTAAGCTCTCCCCAGCCCCCCTGAGATAGGTTCTCATGTAGCCTAGGTCGACCTTGAACTTCGTGTATAGCCAAGGGTACACTTGAACTCTTGTTCCTTCTGCCTCCACTTCCCAAGGCTGGAATTAGAGGCTTCAGCCACCATAGTCGGATTACTGGTTCGTTGTTGAGTAAGAATTAAAATGAAGAGACCTCAGCCATGCCTTACTCTCACGTACCATATTTACTTTATTATTCTTTCATGAAACCGAATTTCTATGTCAATGCCCATTCCTCCAGACAAGAATTGCTAGTTATTGGAGCTAATAAATATTTCATGCTCAGCAGGCGGCTGCGACTGACAGCTTATATGAAAACCACTCATATTTAGGAACACAATGTTGTTTCATTAATCCCTGTTTATTCAGGAGCTTTGAGCAGAACCCAAAAATAAAGATAAAATCGGCTTATGTAACTGAATCATCGCAGTTCCAGCTGCTGATTGAAGCAGAAGCCGAGGTCTAAGAAAATCCATAGCCTGATGTTGGCACAGTGCCCTCTAGTGAGAAGATGTCTTCAATGTAGCAGGGTTTTTTGTTTTTACTTGCATCTAATTTGCATGGTCTTATATCAGTGCTGCTCAGCCTTCCCAATGCTATGATCCTTTAATACAGTTCTTCATGTTGTGGTGACCCCCAGGCATAATATTATTTTCATTGCTACTTCATAACTGTAATTTTGCTACTGAGTGGTGTCTCAGTCTGTAAGACTACCAGAATACCTGTTTTCCAGTGGTTGGGACCCACAGGTTGAGAGCTTCTGGTCTAAGTAATTTCATTGGCCAGAGGCCAAAAACAGTCTTAGGCATCTATGATAAAATGCTTATTTCTGAAGTTGCTGGCCACTCATAGCTCTTCCTGATACCTTTCTTGTGTGTGTGTGTGTGTGGTTTATTTTTAAATTAGTTTTGGTTTTTCGAGACAGGATTCTCTGTGTAACAGCCCTGACTGTCCCGGAACTCACTCTGTAGACTTAGGTTGGCCTCAAACTCAGAGACTCATCTGCCTCTGCTTCCTGAGTGCTGGGATCAAAAGCGTGCACTGCCATGCTTGTCTCCTTGAAAGATCAGTATTTCAAAGCCAGCCTGTGCCATATGAAACTTTATCTCAGGAAGGAACAATCTGGGGCCTTGAGTATTTTTACTCTTGTGGACACTGCTGTATTACATTACATTCTGATCTTTTCTATTGCTTTCATTTGAACACCGTTTCTGTGCTACTTTTCAATCAGTGTGGGGTTTCATTTCCTTCTTGGATAAAGTGCCAAGAACCTGGAAACATCTGGCCCAACCAGCTACCTGACCACAGTCAGCATGCCCATGCAGGATTCATGATGTTTTGAAGCTACAGGATTTTTAGCAAAGTGCTCATAGTATAAAAGTTGTTTTAAAATATTTACTGACTGACTCAGCCCCAGATCCCCAGGGCAATCAGAGCTATAGATCCTTCCTTGTTAGTCTCTGCTGAGGTCTGCAGGACCCTTCATGTGCCTCCAGGATCTCCAGACATACCTTAATTAAGGCAGAGAGGTAAGAGGGATATAAATGGGAATTCCACGATTGCTTATTCAATGGATGCTCACAGTGGGACACAAGCCAGTCAGCAAAAGCTTCCTGGGTAGTGGGATGCACCTTGGCAGTTATCAGGTTGAGTGTCACCTTGCAGAAGGAGGAAGGAAGTGAGAAACTCACCTGTGGCAGGTGGAGATATAAGAAGAAGCCACTGAGGGCATGCGCTGAGTCCCTATAACTAAAGGAGTGAGGACGAAGTCTCTTGGAGTCGGGGGAGGTTCATGAGACTGATGGACAAAACACTCTGGTGACACGTCACAGCTAGGGTGTGGGGGTGTAATAGGTCCAGGAAGAGGAGAGGCAAACTCAAATTTGTGGACTCCAGGAGGTACCACTACAATGTTTCAGATCTCAGGCCCAGCAAATCGGCTTTGGTAGGGATGAGGCCAGCTGGGAGCTGCTGTTTTTGTGAGTCTGAGTAAGGGCAGAGACCCAGGGTGACTGTGACCACCAGCTGTCTGTGCTTACTCCAACAGAGTCTCAGCTCCCCGAGGCTTGAGGCTTCAAGATGGGTCCTGTGTTGAGGAGGAAGAAGGTAGGTGAAGGGGTGTGAAACCAGTAGGACAGACTCTCAGAGACCCAGAGGAAGAGGCAGGAGATGTCAAAGTGCCTGCTTTGGCACTTTTCCTCACTAGAATGTTTCTGTATGCAGAGACTAGGAAACAGAGGCCAAGGCCCAGCCAGACAGAGGATGGCTGGAGGGACCTTGAGGTGCGGGCTGTGTAGTAACGGGAGTTTTAAATGTGGTCTGCATCTTTACTTAACCCTAGCTGTGCTAAATGTGTTGATATAAGATTGAATTTCTCTCACTCTACATTCTTGGAGACCTTTCCAGTGTTGTGAAATCATTTGGAAATGGGTTTCCATCTGTCTTGGGCTCTAATTGTTCAGGCAAAAATCTATGCCATCGATTCAAAACTCCAATGAAGGCTGTAAGGAACACTTCCAAGAACACGCCGCTGTGGTGCTGGGCTGCAGAGCTTAAGCCAGTAAGTGTGCTCTGAAATCTTTTCCTCTTTCCCGCAGAGCATCAGTGAAGCACTTGCCACTTAATTAAGGAACAAGTAACCATCCTCAGAGCGCATTAAGTGACAGTAACTAGAGCGCTCACAAGAAAAAAAAAACTAGTAAAAATAAGGCCCAGGAATCCCTAGAGTCCTTGCTTCACTAGGAAGCCCATTCAAAATGTCAAATATCAGAAATGAGCTGAAAACCTTGAAATTGTTGCAGGTGACATTTTCCAAACATCGCCTGTTGTATTGCTGCTTTTATGCAATAGATCATTACCTGGTGTGGTGGTTTACACGTGTAATCCTTGCACGTAGGAGGAATAGGAGCCCAATATCGTGTGTGTGTGTACATGTATGTATACATACATGCACACATATCAGATTACCTTTCACTAGGTTCATGCTACAGAAAACAAACTTCGCAGAAAGGTCAAGGGGTTTCTGTTGACCCTTCTCTCTTGTTCTAGCTTCATTTTTATTGCTGTGACAAAACATCACACCAAAAGGCAGCCCAGGGCATGAAAGGTTCACTCTAGCTCACACTGAGAAGAAATCACAGTGGCAGGGCTTGAAGAAGCTAGTCACATCACACCCACAGTCAAGAGATAAATCGGTGCGTGTACGTCCAGCACCCAGCTTGAGTCATCTACTCTCATCACATAGTTCAGGAGTCAAACCGAGACTGGCACTGCCCACAGTGGCTGCGCTCCTCCCCACATCAGTGACAGGTAAGGAAAACATGCCACAGGCATGCCAAGAGCCAACCTGACACAGACAATTGTTCTTGGAGACCCTCTTCCCCACCCTGGTTATATCAGAGCTCTGGAAAGAAATGCCATGCCTGTTCTCAACTTATTAGATCTGTCCTCAGATCTTTCCCCTCTCCCTCCTTTCCCTCTCTCTCCTTTCCCTCTCCTCTTTCCTTGAAGCAGGGTCTCATGTAACCTAGGCTGGCCCCAAGCTTGCCACATAGCCAAGGGTGGCTTTGAATTCCTGATCCTCCTGCCTCTCACTTGTGGGGCTTATGGGTGTGCACTACCAGTTCCTCAACTCCATTTCCTGCCTGAAAACTTTCAAAATCATGTTTATCATGGAGTAAAAGGAGAAGAAAGAATTTGCTGAATTGGTCATTTCCCTTACAGTCACAGAGTGCATACCTTTCATCCACCTCTTGCTAGAAACTATTAGCCAATTGCACAAATCTCGCTGGGAGGGTAGATGTGTCCACCCCTCTGTCATCTTACCCTCAAACTTGGTGGAGTCTGGAAGAGGCCAGGAGCAGGGATGAGCAACAGGAAGTGTATAATTCCTGTGGGAGGACTTTGGAGTGGGTGTGGTCTTTCTCCAGAGTTGCTGGGTCAAGGTACCTTGGGGGCTGGAGAGTCATGCTCAAGTCTCGGTGACTTCGATAACTAGCAATGGATAGAAAGGGTAGGAGTCTGCTGTCAGAATCTCCATTGGGCTGACAGCTGGCAACAGGGAGACATGGAGGACCACACAGCTGGAAGGCATAGAGTCAGCACTTGGCAGGAAATATGAACTCCATTTTTACCCCTTAGGAAGGACTTAAACTGTATCTGGGCAACTTGGGTCCTCTGGTAGTGGAGCCTTTTGTCTTGGTACACAAAGGCCTGGGCACTGTGCCACCAGCTCCCAGCCCTGCCTCACTGCAGCCAGAACGTATGGGTCTTTGCTGTTGTGTGACCCAAGTCTGTTTCCCCTGTAACTCGATGTTGTGTATAACCCATGAACTAAATACTGCAATGTTAACTGCAGGATCATGTTAATGCGTGCCGTTTGCAGACACATGAAATGCATAGCATTGAGGAATGTCTAGTTCTTTTTATGCATGGGTATGTGTGTGTGTGTGTGGGGGTACGTGTGCATGTGTGTCTGCATGCAGAACCCAGAGTTTGATACAAATTCTTTTCTTGGTCAGTTTCCACCTTATATGTTGAAGGCAGAGTCTCTCACTTAAACCCAGAGTTCACAGACTTGGGTGGTCTATTAGGTAGCCTACCCTGGGGACATCCACCTCTGTCTTCTAAGTACTTGGTGATCACATGGGTGCCGGGGAATCTGAGGTCAGATCCTAGAGCCCTACTTGGCTTCTGAGACATCGCTCTAGCCCCTATTCCATCTTAATAGTTATATCAAGGATATTAAAAAGAATCACTAATGGAGGAAGAGTGGAATTTTTCTTGTATAAAACCCTTTGATCTATAGTCTCTGAATTCAAAACAACACAAAGAATTTAGTCCAATAAAAATAAATATTACTTTTCTCAAAAAATTTAATTGCAGAACTATTTATAAGAGGTGAACATTGGCAATACAGACATCAAACAAAAGAGGTGCTACCATTGGAGAGTTCCAGACAACAATGTTTCCATAGTCACCTAAGAGTAAAAAGAAAAAGTCACAGAAGAAAGAAAATGAAAACAAAACAAGCAATCTCTTAAAATGACTTAAAATAATGACCAACATTCTAACAAATTATTAATGAGAAGGACGAAACTGTGTTGGCAATGAGAAATACATCAGATAGGATACTGCATGCTGGGAAGTAGACTTTATCAAAAGAACCCAAAAACCATGAGTACGAGAATTACATAAAATAGTTTAGTTCTGGCGAATGTAAGTCTGTACAGGTTTGAATATTTGGCACTCTGTCGATCCTCATCGTGGGTATTATTTTATATGTATATATATTTATATATATATTTATATACTTTTAACCTTGAACTAAATTGCTAGTCTCCTGCTCTAGCATTCCTTGAATCCCTATAGGAGGCATTAAACTCAGTCCTTAGGCCACACCTGGGTATTTTGGCACATAGTACAGAGGGTGGGTAAGAGGGCTGTGTCTCTACAGAAGGGTACCTGGCCAGAGGTGACTGGAGTATCACTGGGAATAAGTAGCCCAGTTCTTGATGGTCAATAGGGGGAACCTTCCTGAATGCAGCAAACCAACTGAAAATGGAGGGAGGGTGACAATTCTTGTGGAGCCCTTTGAAAGTGACCAAGTTTCTGAGATGGCTGGAGTTGGTGGTAGTGGAGAAGTAGGGGTTATGGACACGTGGCCTCCTAAGGTCCCACCAGCAGCCTTGGCTTCCATCCAAGTCCCCCCATGGAGACCGATGCTCAGAAGATAAACACGGGCTCATGAATCCTGCCATAACTTTCTCTGTGACCATCTTGTCTTGCTCCGCACATGGGACGTCTTGGAGCCCGAGTCTTTCAAATTCAGAATAAGCACCAATGAATTAAGAGTCTCCTAAAATCTAAGAAAATTGGGAGGTAAACCACTGTTACCTTGGTTTGTGTGTATACAAAATCTTTTAAAAAGTAGTAGTTTTGTAGGTAACTAATACGTCCTCTGTAACAGAGTCAGCTGTCAGCTGTCAAGATGGAAACAGGGTCATTTTTTTTTAACATTGGATCAAAACACCAGAATTAGGACAGCAACTCCTACGTGGTGGTGTTTTTCAGCGTGGTGAGGATGGGAAGGCTTCTTCTTAGAGTGTCTGTGTACTCGTCTCTGCAGCGGGCAGGGGAACGATGGCAATGGGGGGGACTTGGGGTAGCGTCTATACCTCTGCAGCGACTGTGCTGCAGGGCCAAGTCCACTCTGGTGCTCTTCACATTCTCACTCTTCCATTCTCCAGGTAGAATTGCTCCTTCATTGCTTTCCTGTAGAGATAACATCTGTTGACTTCATCTAGGAGGGAGCTGAGCTTATATGATGGTGAGAAAATCACCCAGTTCTTGGTGGGTGGTATGGGTTCTTGTTATGGATGAGTATAGAAATTCAGTCACAGCCCACAGGAAAAGAAGTCCCTGGTGATTCTGTTCTGTTTCTGTGTCCCTCTGCAGTCTTGTTTGATCTCCTGCTTAGGCAGGGCAGGACCCTAAAGCAAATGTCCCTGCCTTTGTGCCCTGGCTGGCTCTGCCAGCTTCCTGTACAGATTGGGCCATGGTACACATAGTAGAGCCAGAGCACAAATCCCAAACAATAGACATTCACCATAAACCTCTAAGCTCCAGGATACCAGAGGCCGTATGTCACCAGATCCTTACATTGTGTCTGTCTGCGAGGGAGGTAGGGACAGTAACACTAATGCCACATGGAAGAGAAAATGGGGACCTGAGCGAAGACAGGTTACTAGTCATTGCATGCATAAGTTCTGGCAGCTTGGCTGGGCCTCAGGGCTGCTGGCACCGTCTCATTGACATCTCAAACCTCTGCAGCCACTTCTGCATCTAGCCTGACCGGGGAGGTTCACTGGCTTCAGTGTGCTGCACCTTTCCCCTCAACACGGGAGGCACATGCAACCCAAGAGTCAGGGATGACTTCAGCTGATGCGGTGTGTTCAGGACGGGCAGTAACAGGGCGGGTTAGTGCAAAGTTCATTGCTCATCGATGTAGCTGAGGCTACTGCTAATCAGAGGCAGTTACATTCTTGATCTCTTAAACCTGCGGTTTACTGGTTCTAGAACCCCAGTTTCGATCCAAACCTACTTAGAAGTATAAACGGTGAGTGGGTAGAAATCGGGAACTCCTCAAAACTTCAGCGAACACAGTTTGAAAACTATAAGAATGATTGGGACCTATGAAGATTGGAGGAGAAAGTGGTTGGGTGAGGAGGTGACTTAGGAAGGTATGTCTTCAAGTCTGCAGCTGGTGGGGTGAGAATGGGGCCTCTGTGTCCTCTCACATCCAGTATGCTCCAGACAGCCAGCTTCCTTCAAGCCAGATACAGGCCCCCAGGGGCCTGCTGCTCCCGCTCCAACACTTGAGGGAATCCTCTGCTACCAATGGGTGTGGTCTGCTGACTTATCAGCCTGAGTCTATCTGAGCCACCACTTGTCAGCTTCTGTCCATGGGGACATCCTAGAGCTGTGGTCAGGGAATCCTGAGCAAGGTGACTGACACATCGGGAGAAAGCAGCTGAAACCTGGCCTGTGTGCCCTTTGTAGGGTGACTGGCTTCCAGCTCTTCAGAGACACAGAAAAGGCTGGCTCAAATCAGATTATCTCAGAGACAACTGCTAAGTCTCTTTCATGTCATCCCATCTCTGCGCCCAAAGTTCTGGATCATGGCTGGGTGTGATGGTACATGTCTATAATCCCAGTACCCAGAAGAAAGAGATGGAACACTTGAAAATTTGAGGCTAGCCTGTACTATACATGGTGGGACTATGTCTTAAAACAAAACAAAAAAAACAAAACAAAAGGTTTGGCCCAAACCAGACAGCTGTTTCTAAGGCAGGGAGCTACAGTTGCTACAGGGACGTGGGCCACGTGTCCACAATGCCACCATATTTCCACAGAAATCTCATCCTGGGGCCCTGGGGCTGGGGTGGTGTAGTGAACACATAGGGTTAGGGTGGTTAAAAACAGTGCTCAATATGCTAACAAAAGGCAGAAATCAACATGGGGTGAACACCCCAAGAAACAGGATCCATCATATGCATTGTGTACGTTTTGTGTTATTCTGATCACAACTTGGACATTTCCGTAAAGGCTGGTTGGAAGAGGGCCTCTTTGCAGCTTGTGGTTTTGTGTTCTTTTCTGAGGCAGTCAGAAGCAATTTGAATTTTTTTTCTAAGGAACTACTTCCTGTTTAAATGCTTGAAGTCTTCAGATGCGGTTTGAAGTTGAAAGTGTGGGCATTTACTTTTCAGTGAGGTGATTTCTGGGTTGAAAACAAGTTGGATGCTTTCTACATCATTCTGGAGGGGGTGGTGGGGTGGGAATAAAAACATGGAAACAATTGCAACAGGAACAAATGGAGACGCACGCCAAGGAGACTTCCTCAGGAGCATTCTTTCTCCTGGTTCTGCTCTCTCGCTGTGAGTTCTTTCCCATTGCTCTCCATGGCTCAGCCCAGCCCAGCCCACAACCTGATGGTGTGAGGAAGGGATTCTGAGAGGAAGACACACAAGTCTCTCCAGTTGTTGATGGCATCTCTAGGAACACAGGTGTGCTGTTAGAGATAACAAGGATGGCACCGGGTTATAGCCATGTCCTTGTGGCAGGTTTTCATTAATGTCATGTTTTGGACCAGAGGAGAGGGCCACAGGAGAACTCCACACCATGACCCTCCTGAAAGCAACTGAAATAAAGGTGCTGGAGGGAACAGCGTGCCTACATGACCAATGCTGTTTGCCTTTGCTTGGACGATGCAGTGTAAACATGGCTTATCTTCTTGGTCCGTAGCAGAGTGTCACCCGCATGAGAACCGAAGGTATTGCACTTAACGAGGGGACTCGAACAGCTAACACTCCATCAGAACTAGCAGCACGTGTTTGTTCGGTCATTAAATAACAATCTTTGGAACCTAGTGAACCAGACAGGGGTGCTTTTTTTTTTCCACTTCAAAGAGGGGCCACCATGCAACTCAGGGAAGGAAGATTTGCTCAGCTGGGGGAAGCTTAGGCTAAGACTTTGGGTAACTTCATGAAAAAAACTAATATAGGCAACATAATTAACCAAAATCTAATGGATACTTTGTTTAAGTTGGGTCCATAGAATTTGGAGTTTAAGACAATAATGATTGTCTAATGTTACAATTTGTTTCTGTGTATGTTGTGTACATTTGATGAAATGAGAGGAAAGGCTGCCAGCTGCCAGACAGACTCATGGGTGAGGGCAGCAGGGATGTTTGCATTCTCCATTTCCTTTAGCTGGGGGTGGGGGATGTACATCAGACCTGCTAACCTCTGATTGCTTACAGAGAGCTCCTCTAGGATACATCACTTTCAAAGTCTGAAGTACCAGTGCTTACAACACACACATATATTTTTAAACACAGTGGCATGAATACAGGAGGAAGCATAACTATTGTACACTATTTAGGATTTACATATTTATTTAGGTAGAAAATGCTTTGAACACTCTGGGGAAATAGGGGTTCAGTGATAGAAGAATATTTTGGGGACTTTTTTGCATTTTTTAAAAGGATATACATTCGTATGATTTTTGCTTCCAAATATATTTTAAGGCTGTTTGGTAAAATATATACCAGATACAAGGCTCAATTTATAGAGTTTTGCTATTACAGGGAATTCTTAACTACTCAGCTTAAAAAAAAGTAAAACTTTGAGGCTTGACATGCTGTAACATCAACCGTTGCCCCCCCATGCGTAGTGGAATGTAGAGGATGAGGAAGAGGCCGGTGTTGTCTTAGCAACATCCCAGCGGCAAAGGCTGCCTCGCTGGGTACCCATGCAGTGACCAGCGATGAGGTCAGGCTGCAGAGGGGGCCCTGGGGACAGTTTAAAGTGCGAGTCACTGGGAGAACACAAAGTGCGACGGGGTGTCAAAAGCTTTGCTCCTAAGGCTAAGTGCATGGCGCTCCTCTGGCGTTAAGAGGGAAGACCTGCCTGGGAAGGAGTGTGGAAGGAACCCTGCCTGCACATGAATGACAAAGAACTCTGAGATCAGGGCCACGGGCAATCTGTTGGCTCTGTGTGTCATCTGAACTTCCGTGCAGAAGGCTGGTTACAATGACTCGGAGCGTGTAAATACAATCTGCACAAAGCCTGCTAATCAGAGCCGGCCTTTCCTCTCCCGGCACCCTCAGAGTCATGACTCATAGTAACCTTTCTTAAGTTCCACAGCTGGAAATCACCACGCATGACCCTTTCTCCCTCCCCCTTTTCATGTCTAACACAGGCAAGAAATATATTCTCAACTTCAGCAGTACTGCATAGGACCAAAAGAATTCTGGAAAAATACAAGTAATAAACTATTTTTTCCTCTTTACCATTTTCACTTCTATACTTACCACTCACATTCATGTTTCTTATATGGTTTACATCACAACTGTCATCATAAACAAGCAAACTCCTTTAAGGGTACCCTGGAAAGTCAAGTAATAGCAGTTCAAGAACACATGTAACATACATAAGAAGTACATGTAGCCTAAGCGGTGAAGTTTAAGAAAATGCTGTGTGGTAATGGTTTAAGTTACAAAGGGATAAAAATACCATGACTTATTTCTTAGTTATTTCCTCGTTGTAATCTCCGGGTTCCTGCCAGCCCTTTCCATGGCTCCCTCTCTCAGAGGAACATTCAGCTTAGTTTTTGAATATAAAGATTCTATGTTAGATATTATTTTGGGGGTTTCAGCCTTGTCATTTCCTTTTGGAGAACTACATGGTGGGGACCTCGGAGAGACACTTCTCTGTGGTCACAGTTGTCAACCAGGGAACCAAGTGCTTTCTGAGGCGGCAGGACCCTTGAGGGGCAGCAGGGGCTTCAGGCAGCTCGGCTGCGGGGAGACACTCTGATGAGAGGGAACAGGTCTGTCTGCCTTCCTGCTCTTCCAATTGCAGCACCTTCCACTTGGACGTCTAATGCCTCCCGAGAGTGGGGGGATGCACCCGTTTGTAGTGACCTCTAGTTATCGCACAATTTATAAAAATATAAATAACAAAGTGAAAGCTAGGTTCCATCTCAAGAGGCCACTTGGCGGCCCCCTGCAAACAGGGAGGTAAGTCAGGCCTCACCAAGCCTGTTCCTCGGAGCCAACGTCCTTCAGAGTCAGTCTTGCCATGAGCTCAGCAAACCAGGAGTCAGAGTGTCCCCCGTCCACGGTGCAGAGAACATGGCAAGGGTGAATCCGGTGGAGGGTGAGACAGAAGCTACCAGGTAGGCAATAAACTGTACAAGCATTTTGTGTAAAAGAACAAAACCGGGCGCGTGTGGCCGCCTCTGGTCCTCAGAGCCGCGTCTGGGCCTCGGGGATGTAGATCTCAATGCTGTCTGCCCTCTCGGTGGCAGAGTTCTGGCGGAAGGAGGCGGCTCTCTTGGCTGCCATGAGCCTGCGCCGAGCTTCTTGCCGCTGTCGGTCTGGCAGGTCCAGGGACTTTTCCCTTGTGATGGGGAATTTCCCCTTGGGGGGCTTCTTTGGTATTGGAGGGGGGATCTTCCTTTCTTCCTGAAAAACATCACGAGTCAGATGAGGTCAGAGGTCAGGGAAGGTCATGGAGAGGACACAGAGGCAAGTTTAGGAAATCTGAAGAGTAGCGGAGGAAGTCTGGGGAAGGGCAGAGGGGAGGGAGCTCAAGGGGAATATCGGGAGAGAGGTCATGGCAAGGTCAGGGGGTCATGGAGAGTTGGGAGGAGAGGTCAGAGGGAGGTGGGGAGGACTAAGGAAAGTCACAGGGAGATCGGGGCAGACTGGAAGTGCTGAGTCCTGGAGCTCTGGTTCATTCAGGTTCCATCCGATTCCCTGTGCCTGCAGGCACTGTCAGTTCACCCCCCGCTGATGCCCAGGGAGGCAGCTTCAGCTTACAGCATTCACTTTTTTGGGAGGGGAGAGTCACCTTTCTAAACTTCTGATTTTTTTAGTGGAGACTGCGGAGTTTGGGACTGTGTCTATGGATAAGAAAATAAGCTGCAGCTGGGTGGAGGTGGCACCTGCCTTTAATCCCAGCACTGGGGAGGCAGAGGCAGGCGGATCTCTGTGGGTTCAAGGCCAGCATGGTTTACAAAGCTACACAGAGAAACCCTGTTTCTAATAATAATAATAATAATAATGGTAATAATAATAATAATAATAATGTAAATAAGCTTCATCATATCTCAGACACCCCTCCTAGCTCTGGCAAACTGGACTTCTCCCTCATCCCTATATTTTCCAAAGCACTGTCCTACTTAAGTGGTAGCAAACGTTTTGAGGGAGTGTGGAAGTGGCCGCCTGATGCTTGTGTGACAGGATGCGTGTGGGTGCAAGCCATCTTATGTGGACAGGAGCCCCAGGGATCCCCCAGATACATTCTCCATCATGAGCCTAAACCCACAGACTTTACTGCAAGCACATATATAATAACAAGTCTATGCACATATTTCCGTTAGCTTAGAGTCTCAAACAATTCACATCCCAAAATACATGCATCTGCAGAGAGACAACTTGAACAGGTTGGAAACACAATGCAGAAGGGTTGCAGCTGTTCAGTGAAGGACTGGCCCTCTGGGACGGTGTTCCTGAAGGCAAACCTGGGCCTACCCTGCATATCGTGAGACCTCCTGCCTAAGCAGAGAGCTCTCCCCTGGGTCTCCACGCTTGAGCTGTGTTTGGTACAGAAAGCAGGGTAGTGTGTGCCTAAGCCCACAGTGGCCTCTGATGTTGGGAAATTCTTGGGTGTCTGAAATTTGTTCCTCCGACTTCCTGGTGTGCCTTGTAAGCGACTTAGAAACCCAACTCTCAGGTGAGACACACAGTTACTGGTGTCTCTCCTCCTCTCTCAGTAGCTCTGCACCGTGTGTCCGTGAGAAGCGAACATTTCCTGTGAACTTTGGCAAGGGGCTGCAGAGCCTACAGGCTCTAGCAGAGGGGCGGGGGAGGCAGGGACCTTGCAAGGCCTGAAACTCTGTCTACAGGGGTACCTAGGAGGGGCAGGCTTTCCTTTAAGGTATGGATCTGCCACTCCGCAGTGGGGTGAGTGTCCTGAGCTAGAACACATTTCACAGGAGACTTGCCCCGTGTGGGTCCCTGATCGCCCACCATAGGGGCAGCTGCCTGCGTGGCGGCTGAGCTGGGGAGCACTGCTTTTATCATTCCACCCTGGTGCCATCTTCTCTGCAGAGTCACGGGTAGTGTGGACTTGCATCTGTCTTCGCACACCCCTCCTCAGGGACATCTATGGCTGGTGGCTTTAAACCCCAAACGGTAAGCGCCCTCACTGGCTTTCATTTTAACCAATGAGCTACCCATTCTCGCCCACACATTGGACAGTACTTCCCCATACCATTGTTAATCCGCTTTCCTTCAGGCTGGCCTCAACCCTGTAATCCTCCTGCTCCAGCTTTTCAGTTTTGGGAACTGAGGCATATACCTCCACATCTAAGTGTAACTTAATAAAAGAAACACGTATTTAGCGCGTATATGCATGCATGCATATGTGTGGGTGTAGACATGCCACAGTGCACTTGTGGAGACCGGAGGACACCATCTAGGAGTTAGTTCTCTCTTCCCACTGGGTGAACTTTAGGGTTAGTGGCAAACACCTTTGCCCGCCCGGCCACCTCACTGGCCCCGCTAGCTGTGACTCAATCCAATGGATGGTATCTGTCTAGAAAATTCAGACCATGATTACTTCTCTGGGTAGCTTGAGAGTAGGTGCCCATAGAGCTGACTTAGACTTCTTCCTGTGCTCTCCTGAGATGACGTCATCATGAAGCAGAGAGCCAACCATTCAGATCGAATGCCAATTTTCAGCTTATTTAAGGATGGAGCCCTGTGGGCAGACCACACCCTCAGATTGTTTGGAAAGACTTAGACTTCCCTCCCTGCACGCACCGGGGAGGAGTATTTGAATGCAAGGATCTCATCTCAGCACGACCTAAGAGCTTACCTATGGGAGATCGTCTAAATACAATCCAAGCAGAAGTCGGATGAAAATGAGCCAGGATTTATCCCCGGAGAAAGCTAGATTATAGAATGTAGCGATCTTCAGTGGTGTCTCTGAGATGTCTGTGTACTGGAGGTATGGCAAGCCACCACTGCTACTCACACACCCAGGACCCCTATTCTGTCTGTGTATATGCTTGCAATGCACACACACGCACACACACACACACACACACACAGTGATCCTGTATCAATAAAGGGGGAGAAACTGGCTACCATCGGGCACTACAACAGGTACCCAAAGCCCACAAGCACAGTGCCCAGGCCCCAGCACACCACGTGACTTCATTACCTTTCTTTCGGGGGATTCTATTATCTTCCAGTCAGTGAGCTTCAGCTGGTGCAGTTCATCAAACTTCATGCTGACATCTTCCACAGACAGCTGCAGCATATCCCAATAGCCAGCCAGATCCTGCGATGTTGGCCTTGGCATGGCGCTGGGGTCCTGTGGACACACAGGGATGTTACAGGGATCCTGTGGATGCACAGGGATGTGACAAGGACTGTTCTTTCTTACTATGTCACTCAAGGAACCAGATGAGGGGGAGCTTCATTGATTTGAAGCAAGGCAGGAGATGCTCCATGACTCCATAAAAGTTAACCGTATGTTAACCAGGTATGTGCCAGCAGCCTAAAATCACACAGCACAGCCCTTCCATGTTTCAGCCTGAGGGTCCTGGGGGCTAGGAGGTAACTCAGTGGTAGAGTACTTGCCAAGTGTGCTCAGACTTTCTTCAGATGGTTTGCAGCTCATGGGATGCAGTAGAGGCCTGTGACTTAGAAGGGACGGGTCTACTACATGTGTCTAGTGCAAGGCCACTGGTCTTGTTTTGATGGATCCTAGCTCTTGCTCTGAGGATCAGGTATGATGTCAAAAGGTAATGTGAGTTTAGTTTCTTCCCATGTAAAGCCAAGTCAATCTCTTGAAGGAAAACAGGATTCAAGAAGACCCTTTCCCAACTTAGCCTGCCGAAGGGGTGTCACTCAGTCATCCACAGACAGTTCCTGGCCTGGCTGAGTCCACGATGCACACTTTATTTCTGCACAATGTATGGCCCAATTGGTTCTTACCCTGACAACCAAGTGCCAGTTCTCTGTGTGGCTCCCTTGATTCAGTGTGAGGTTGACTCACACCGTGGCCTCACACAATCAGACATTTGATTGCTCAACTTTCATCAGTAGTTCGAGTTGAACATTGTTTGGTTAACAGTTTCTTTAGCCCGAGTTGATGCTCATACAGAAACTATACCTGTTAGGCACCATTGCATTTTCACAGGCACCCAAATAACAGCCTATGGCACCAGGGAGGGTCACAGGGTTGGGGTCGGGGTGGAAATAGGTGAACTCAGTGTCTTTTTCTGTTGTGTGAGCCTGTTCTTACACTGAGCCACTAGAGGGCGACTTCTGTCCACACTGAAGCGGTATCAGGCCATATAAGATTCCTTCTAAGATACAGGGCTTTCTATCTTTTTCTGCTTGTGTGTGTGGATGCAAGAAGGATAACTACATTGTAGCTACATCACAAACTGCTCATACCTGCACACCTTCAAAACACCTGGCTTTCCCTAGGGTTATTTCTTAGATTGAATGCTTGGCAAACTACCTAAAATGTCTACTACTAACAGTGTCCCCAGCAACCACGGATCACAGCTTTGAGGGCAAGGAAGATACTCTGTCTTTTACCTGTGTCTTCTGACACCATTCCCCAAAAAGGGTCTTAGAGATCCACAAGAGAAGCCAAAAGAAAAGAGACAGATGGTTTTGAGCTTGAAAGGCACCAAAGATGTCAGGCCTAAATCAGCAGCATCGGGTACAGAAGAGGTGTGCATTTCGTAAGCTGAAGGGTAAGCTCTGTTCTGATGCAGTAAGGTCTGTACCTAGAAGCCAGAGGTTGTCTGGCCACCCTAACTATAACTGCACGGCACGTAGCGCCCCATATGATCAAACCAGTGTTGCAAAGATAGTATGCAGAGGAAGGCAGTGCTACACCTAATAGCCAAACGTTTATCCAGCTTCATCTTTCAAGGTTGCAAACCTTCCAGATCGCCCTTTAAATGTCGACAAAGCTTCATGCCAAAGGCGCCATGTTGTAACTCTCAACCTCATGATGAACCTTAATGAGCTAGCTGGAAAATGTTAGAGAAGACATTATCCTTAATGACCCCAAAGAAAGACCTGGATCTGCAGCTCTGAGGAGCTGCACCTGCACCTGCAGTGGAACAGGCTGTAAGCTCACTGTCTCTGTTCAAGCGGACAAGTAGAGCACCTTCAGAACATCCACTGCCTTTACCGTGACAACCCCCACAGAGGTGTTTTGGAAAATGTTTGGAATTAAGTAGCTGGATTCTAAAATTGCCTATAAAGAACTGTGGATACAATTCAGCTGTTTCTCATGGAATTACACGAGTAATTTAGTCAGACAAAACCAAAACAATGTGTGTGTGCATGCATTTGTTGATATATGAAGATTAGTATGTATAAACATACATGCAGGTATATAAACACACACACACACACACACACACACACACACACACACACACGGGTGGGTTTCTCTTTTCTAGGAAGACCCAGGATCTATGCCAAATACATTCACAAATCTAGCTCAAGACACAATGTCTGCCCTGACAATAAGACATGCAAAGACCAAATGATTTCTAAGACCTCTTCTTCATCTCTTCACATGAATGTGTGTCTTTGCTCAACACCCCCCAGATGATGTTCTTGTGACCTTGGCCATCACAGCAATTAATTTGCTACCTTCTCTTCTGAGATTTTCTGGGATACGAGCCAGGAGAGGAGTTTCAATCAGTCTCTCCCTCTCATCTGCATGCCCTACTCAGCCCCAGGCCCAATCCCAGCTTTCAAGCCCCAGCCTCCAGCTGGAACCTGGAACTAAGGTGTGGGCGGCTGGGGTCTGAACGTAGATAACTAGGGGTAGGTGTGTGAGTCCCAGATGGGGTGCAGGTCCCTGGGGATGGGATGTTGGTCCTTGGAGATATGTGCATGGGTCTCCAGGGTAAGATGTGTGGGTTTCTGAGCCTTAGGTATGTCTTCAGGGCCAGGGTATAAGTCCCCCAAGGTGGGGTGGGGATCCCTAAGGCTGAGGGGTTATTTGTGTGTCTCCAGAGTTAGAAAGTGGGTCTTAGGCTGGGCTATGTTCTCTCTCCCCTGTCTTCTTGCTTAGGGACACTTCAACCAGCGAGGAGTGTGGTGGTCTGAATGAAAACACCCTCTGGGGCCATATGTCTGAATACTTGGTCCACACTTGGTTGAACTGTTTGGGGGGAGGATTAGGAGGTATGCCAGTGGAGGTGGATTTCAAAAGCTCAGGCCATCCCCAGTTAGCCCTCTCTGCCTCTAGCTTGAGGAGAAGGATGCATGTTCTCAGTTCCTGCCCTAGCACCATGCCAGCCTGCCTGCCACGCCCCCCCACCACAAGAACACCACCGCCCCCGAAAACTGTGAGCCCCTAATAAACTTTCTTCCATACATTGCCTTGGTCAGGGTGCTTGGTCACAGCCACGGAAAAGGAACACGGAGTCTATGAGAAGGCACGCTAGACATATCTCAGCCCTGGTGGGATGGGACTGCCATGCTACTCACCATATTCTGCTGACAAAGCCAGTAGAACTGCTGGAACTTCTGGGACATGAGCAGCTGAGCACTTCCTACGGCACTCCTGATCTTTCCTAGAACTGTGAGACACAGGACAGATCAGGACCCAGTCTGTGACAACAAAAGCCAGAGCGTGCTGTGTCTAGCCAGTCGGGACCAGCACTGTCATCCGTGCCTTTTTTCTGGGGTTGGAGCTTTAGTGTAGAATCTGATGAGCGCAGCCATCAGCGGGAGTTTCCATTCCTTCCCAGCTCACGGGAATACACAAAGTCAACCAGATGCCAGCTGCGAGGTGTTATCGCTAGATACCGGGGATGGTTTAGCTCACTAAGGTGGTGGGCACTACAGGACCTTATTTTGGGTCCTGTGGTTTGTTGAGCTCTGATGAGCCTTTGCTGAGCAGCCATGGGCTCCAGAAGACCCAGTGAATAGTACGAAGATGGTCACTCCTCAACTTTGGCAAAAGCACGTTGGCATCTGCCATCCTATGGAATTCAATAAGTGAACTCAGTCCAGTGAACCGAGGGTAGCGATCTCGTGGCAATGACGTGAGCTGTGCTTCCTGCAGAGGAGCTACAGGAAGGTCACACCATGCCTCAGAATCAGCAGAGGGTCATGAGCCACACAGCAGGTCGAGCCCACTGGCTTATCAGACCCTTTGGGAGGTGAAAGCTACCTGACTAACCGCGCCTCCAACAGCACTCAGCTTTGGGCTACACAGACAGGATTCCTGATCCGCAGTGGCATGATGTGGTAAGTCAAATATTAAACTTTAGAAATAGTAAAGGATGCATTTTCATCCATGCGAAGGACTTAACACATTGTGATGGCTTCTAGATTTAGACCAGGAAAATGGAAAACTCTTTAAGAAAACATAGGGGGAAAGTTCCGACTCTTGCCCTTGAACTTCCTCATCGTCCCCCCACTGTCCGCCCATCCTGAAAATAGCTGCTTTGTGAGTGAGTCCCCCCCCCCCCCCAGAACCGTCCGGGAGTCAGTGGGAACTTTTCTTTCTTCCTGCTGGACCGTTTTGTCTCTGCAGTTTCCCTCGCCTGCTCCCGTTCATATGCCCCCTCCCCCCAGAACTCATACAGTGCGGTGCTCTGGACCTCTGTCTCTGTCACTACTCAACTGTCAGGCTTAGTTGCCACCAGTGAGTTTCTCCTCCAAGCTTCCTTGTGGAGCACAGGCATCCACTCCATTCCAAGTACTTGAAACACATTGTTGTGGGTTGGATCTGGTCTCCCAGGCTTTTCTGGAAGAGAGTTGATTAGCATCTGTCTGCTGTGTATCCTGTCTGGGGAAAGTAGCCAAGGGTGAGGGGGACAGATTTCCTGGGGTTCTGTCCCTCAGGAAAGCAGAGGCAAGGGACCCAATGCTACGCCCTGGAGAACTGTGGGTTTTAACTGGATGTTCATACTCTGGAAGTTTTATTGAGTAATGCCAAAAGACCTTTCAGGGCAGCATAGGACTAACAAGAAGGACCTATGGTAGTCAAAGGTGTTTTCTACTACCACAGCCCAGACACCAGCCCCAAGGAATGACATTGAGGTTCAGAGACACGGACTCAGTTCCCCAAGCTTTACTCCTCATAGACTAGCTCTCCAATGACCAGTGATGGCAACAACCAGTCTCAGGGCCAATTATTTGAGGGTTGAGGATGCACTCAGTGGAAAATTCTACTGTGTTAACATTAAGTGAGGAATGGGTTGGACCACCAAGAATGCAGAGACAAAAAGAAACAGTCTACATACGCCAAATTCTGGCATCAAAATTTTTGACCTGATTGGTTAGCTGCAGCTGCTTCCGTACTTTCCTCAGTCAGACTTGAGGATGAAGAGACAAGCACTAGGACACTGCTGAGGATAACTCTGCAGAAGTAGTGGGTTGATGAGGGGGAGTTTGAGACTAGGTGACTGAGAGGCCAATTGTAGGGCCTTCCCTTCCCCTCCCCCCCGCTCCCTGCTTCCCTCCCTCCCTTCTTTCCTTCTTTCCCTTCGTCCCTCCCTCCTCCTTGTGGATTCTTATTCTCTACAAAGTTGATCATGATTCCACATTTGTGGAAGATGAGAGGGAATCTAGTCTGAATCTCTTGCAGAAAATAGCTGAGGCTGTGACCGACTCTTGAGTCACCTGAAAGCGTGTCTTAGCCCACACTTCAATCTTGCCCTGTTGAACCACACACACACTCATTTCTGAGCACGTATTAATCGCCTGATACTGTCTACTTCTAGATTGCTTCTAGGATGTTAAGAAAGGTAAACCTGGGAACATTTAATAAGCAGGCAAATGAAACCATACTGGTTTCCCTTCAGCCTCAAGAGTGGGAGGTTGCTGGTCTTGATATGTGGGTGTCCCTCAGGCTGTAATGGAAGACAGGAGGGGGAGAAGGCCTGGGATGTGGAGGCCCTGGAGGTGGTTCAGGTCCAACATCCCTTTCTAGAAATGATGGGGAAGGAGGGTGGGGGAACTGCAGATTCTTTTGGATTTGGGGAGATTTGCTTCTATGTAATGAGGCATTGAGGGATGGGACCCAAGTTTAACCACCAGATTTACTTAAGCATCATAGACCTTCTACGCATGGCCAGCGGCTGCTTCCTACACCACATTAGCTTCCCCTCACCCCCGCTTTGCCTGTGGCCTGTCCCATGAGGTCAGGTGCAGAGTTTCCCACCTGTCGAATCATGCCGAGGCTCAAGGCATTTTGAACCTTAGATTTTTCGATTTGGGTTCAGGCCTGTAGTGGGGGTGGGGAGGGAGTGGGGGAAGGATGTTGGGATAGGGAGTAGGGAGGGAGGTGCATGTGGGCGGGACTTTGAGCGGAATCACAAAGAGGGACAGAATACGCATCATCCCTCATTCACACCTGATACCATGCAGGAAAATGATTTAACAGTCTCGGTGTCCAGAAGATGAATATTTAGCTTCTGGAAGGTGGAATTTCTATTTCATTCTACCCGGAAACACAAGTGATTGATGATATTTAAAAGGGCTCATTTTAATCAAACTTGAGCTATAAAATTAAAGAAGCCACGGATGAATGTATTTGTTTTTTACTGACTTCATTTCTTTAAATTGTAAACAAAAAGCCGATTCGTCCTACGAAGTTTGAAGCTTGAATACCTAGTCTTTGTGTTCCCCTTGCAACAGAATTCTGCTGAAGTATCTATAAAAGACTGCAATTTATAATCTTCAGCACAATGTGAATATATGGTAATTCTTGGTATGGATTAGTGTGGTGCAGTGACTGCCACCGGTATAAATTAAACAGTGCCGGGGAAGATAAAGCATGGTGGAAGGGGGTTACTGAGCAGCTGCTAACGGCAGGTAACTTGGCAGCTTAGAGAACGGGAGTGATCCCATCTGAGGCCTGTACCGTAGATAGCTTCCTGTAATTGCAGGGAGTTTGAAGTGAAAATTCAATCTATTCTTTACCGCTATACTCGCCTAATTCCGTCAGAGTTTCAACAGTGTCCTCTTAAGAGCTGCAGAGAAGGACTGGTACTCACTCATCAGAATGCAACTTTTCAAAGGACCTGAAGTGACCTACGCCTTTGGTATACAAAAAAAATTTCTTTTTTGATTAGCCAACTTGTCTCTTTGAATTTATTTTTTCACATGTCTCATTTAATTTCTAATTCTATGAAAATTTGCTAGGAAATGCCAGCACCATTCTAAAATTCCAAGTGGACTTTTATAGAATTTGCAGACATTAACAGGATTGTCTGGTGTTGACAGCCTCTCTTGGGATTCCCTGGTGATTAGTTTTGCCTCGTCGGAGGTGGGCACTGCTCCCAAAATTTTTCCTTCAGGCCCCAGGCTGGTTCTCTTTCAGATCATGAGTATATAACTTAGTTGTCTGGATCCCCACAGGGTTTCCTTACACCCTTAGTGTAAGATGCTGGCCAACTGATGGCATTGCCAGCCTGGTCCCCAAACCGGACATACTCTCTGTCCTAGCTCCTGCCAGAAGCCTATGAACAATGGGTATCGCATCAGCTTACTCAGGGACACGCATGTAACCACACCCTCCCCATACGTGATGCCACTGTCTGTCCCTGGAACCTGGTTTGTACAGAGGCCATCGCTCCTCCTACTCCTCAGTCTGTTTTCTCCTACATCTGCTTCCGATATCCTGGCCAAATATAGACAGGTACAGCTTCTCTTCAGCGTTGTGTTCCTTATCGTGTTTTGTTCATCTCCCATTTTCCTTGTCACCAGTTTGGTCCTGTGTGAAGGTGCCCTGTGGCTGGACATCCCCATCCACAGACATTTGTACCCCTGATGGACCATAGCCTGGGAGACCCTGTGACAGGCGTCTGACCGCACTCTGGGATTATGTGATTAGTGATGGTCATCGTTTGTCCTGACTGTGAAAAGGGATCTGGGATGACTGATTTCAAGGGTCTCTCTCATTGTCTGGAGCTCCCGGCATCCAACTGGGGAATGTTCAAGTGGGCAGAGGTTTGAGGGCAGTCATTTAGACAAGAAGCCCCAACACCAGTCATAAGACCCAACTGTACATGTGCTCCTGTATGGGGGTCTTGAGAGAACCTCCCCACAGTCATTGAGACAAGGCATTCAGGATGTTTCTATTTGTTTCAAAAGACTTGGTAAGTTTTGGTTTCATTTTATATCCTTACCCGTTTGGTTTAATTAATATGAAAACCTTCAAGCTCTGGTTTTATAGCACTTTTCAGCATCTCATAAATATTTCCATTTTTGCATGGGAAGTGTGAGGCCTGCATGGGTAGGACTGAACCTGAACCAGTTTGTGTTTGGCTCGGGTTAGCCTTTATTAGCCACACAGTGCTGAGTAAAACTGGATCCATTCAATCAGTTCAGTGAACTGTGATTACAAAATTACAGTTTGGGCAAAAATTATTTCATGCAATGGAAATTTCAATATTCAGAGCTCAGGGCTTTGGCTTTAATCAGCCATTTAATTTAATCTTAACTTTAAAAGCGTGGAGACCAATGACAGCTGCTAAAACAGGAACCAGACTAGGCGTTACCATGCTTTTAACCATTGTGAGAGAAATGTGAACTTGATGAATTCTGGGATAGATGTGTGTGCGAGTCACATGGGTGAGAGATGCAGCTAGCATCCTGTCACCTCTGCTCACAAGGAGGCACACGTGTCCAGGAGATCAGGGATGTGTCAGAGGCTCTGCTCCCTGTCCCCCATGCTCAAGGCTTACAGTGTTGAAGTCATGTTCAGCAGGGAAAAGAATGGGAAGTCAAGACCATCTGGCTGCTCTCAGGGTTTGGGCGATGTGGTGATCACATCCCATACCTGAGGACACAGCAAATGCCCTGGGATCCTGGAAGAGCTTACAGAAGATGAGGGGTGTTAAAGAGGATATTCAATGCTATAAGGAAAACAATATATTTATTTACCAGAGAGAGAGAGAGTCACACTAGCTAGGAGTTAGACGCCAACAGGCTGTGACTGCTGTTGTTCAGGAAGGTTGCCCACCTCCCCACCTTCTCTTTCTTCCCCATTCTTGTTGGCGGAGGTCTTTGTGTAAGGTACGACTGATGCATAAAACATACCAACTGTGATCTCAGCTTCAAAGACCCAGAAATCTCCAGGACAGTGCAAAGGCAACTCTTGGGAAATATCAATCCCACCATGGTACAGAATGACACCTCTGCCGGGCAGGTGTAAAGGGCAATGTTTATGTCGTGGTCTTCTCAGAAGCCAGACCACAGGTTCCAGGTTCCTGCTTCTAAGCTCTGTGTCTCTTTTGTGTCAGAGTCTTTGTGTGTGTGTGTGTGTGTGTATGAGAGAGAGAGAGAGAGAGAGAGAGAGAGAGAGAGAGAGAGAGACCCCATCTGCTTTCTGTGCCATCAGAGTATAGCACAAGTCCACCTTGTCCACAAAGTCACCTAGGAGTTCCCACACAGAAAACACCTCTCGGATCTTCTAGTTTTTAAAGCATTTTATCCATACTCTGATTATCCTGGTCCTTCCCCCATCACCCGTACCTTTGCTGAAGCCTACTCATTATTGTATCATTTTGGCCAACCAAGAATGGCTAGCCCATGTGAGTACTTAATAAACACCCGCTGACCATAAGCATCACCGATAAAGCATCTGGAAGATGACACTCAAAGCCTCTAAACATTAAATAGCACATTTAAGGGACTATAGCAAAAGAGAAATAGATGATAGATAGAAAAATAGATACTCTATAACCAGGAGGTGGGGGGGTAGTTTGCTCTGATCTATAGCTGGCCTAGAGGGGAGTGCTTTCCCAGAGCCAATGGCTGTCAGGCACACATCTCACACACAGCACAGCTGTGATGATGGATTCTACAGCCACTTCAGTTGCACACAAGTACTTTTGTGACACAACAGGAAATTTGTAGTTTTCTTGGATTCCCCCAGAGAGAAGAATATTACAACGTGTGACCATGTTTCAGCCCAGACACTTTCATTCTGAGGCCTTCATTCTTCATTTAAGAAAGAATTGACCTCCTATCTCTGTGTTTCCACAGCCCTGTCGCAAGGACCTATCGGCCTAGGCATTCTCCATGGACCACAAATGGTGTCTCACGGCAGTGGTGAATCAAAAAGATATACTGTGTTGGGGGTGGGGGGTCCCATATCTCCTGAAACAGCAGAAGAAAAGTAGACACAGCGAGGATGTCTCCAGAAACAGAACGGTCAGGTACAGAACTGTAAGCATGCAATGCAGACACCCAGCATGGGGCTCGGCGGTAGGTGGTAGGGAACTCCTGGAACCTTCCATGCTTTGCTGTGTCACTTTCTATCTTAATAATGAACACTAAGACACATATGTGACATGCCTAGAGTAGACCTTGGCAAACAGTGCATGGCCAATAAACTCTGCCTTTAAAGAACGTATAATCCTTGGGCAAAGCAAAGTGTAGACTGAACCTGGGAAATAAAATAAGGTGGTATCTGTTATTTCACAAACAGAGCAAGCACAGTATCCACATCTGCATACTCAAAAGCAGATTGTAACCTTTTGAATGCACTAGAATGGCACAAGTTAAAAGGTCCGGGCAGGTGAGGAGATGTTCCAGAGACATTTATGCCCCTCCTTTTGGTTGTCAGATTAATGGTCTCCAAAGAATTAAAAACAATCCTCAGGGATCCACAGTGGTGGAAGGGAAGACTGCAGAGACAGCTCAGCAGGACGTCACACATGGTCCTGACACCTTGCATAGGCACACTTACAGCTTCTGCTTTTTGTTTCATCTTTCCCACAAGAGTGACTCTGCTACAGAAAAAGCTGAGGAAAGCCAGGAGCTCCCTCTTCTTGATTTGGCCAAGGTAACTGAGTCTCTTTTCCTTGATCAACATGCTTACTAATTTAAGAACTGGGTTTATTAATAGGACTGCCTCATAACAATGTCAGAATAAAATATAGATAAATGCGATTTCTGAATCCTACTCTGTCTGCCCCTCTTCTCCTTCTCTCCCCTTGTTTCCTCTCCTCTCCCCCTCTCTCCTCTCCCCTTCCTCTAGCCCTTCCTCCTTTCCCCCATGCTTTTCTCCCTCCCCATCTCATCCTTTTCCACCGCCCCCCCTCCTTTGCCCGTCTGTGTGGAGGAGCCAGGGACCCGAGAGCCTGAGGGTTTGGGTGGTCTGCACTGGGCATGCTCAGTTGAGGGCCTTGTGGGTAGAATTCTACTACACCTGTAGCGGGGGATTCTTGCTTAGCTTCAGCGTTCCTTTAGCATAATGCCGGGGATTATAAAAACAGGACACACTGTAAGAATGTCCCGGATCAAGTGATCAGAGAGCTGGTGAGTGGGGTAAAAGGCATAGCACGTCTCTGGGAAAGAGTTCGCAAGCTAATTTCATTCTCACCCCACAGAATGAGGCGACGCACAACCAGAAGGGAGGGCTTGCCCCGCGGAGCACGAGAGCTGCTTTCCTTTCCACGTTTTATGTTGCTTCACGGGATTGAGTGGGGGTGGGGGGACATCAGAGAACACTTTGCTTTCATGTGCGTCCATTTTTCTCACTGAGAGGCTACCGTCCAACCCACTGCGGGGGTGGGGGGTGGGGAGGCAAACTCTTACTTTCTTCAGAGAGGTCGTTCTCCTCCGCTTCTCTCTCCATCTCCTTACACCAGCCTTCCATCCTCTTCGTCTCTGTGTGCAGCAGTTTCAGGAACCACGAGCCATCCCTCCGGCATGGAGACATCCTCCCGGTCTCCACTGTGTCCAGTGACGGCTCCAGCCAGGGGTCGGGTGGAGGCAGAGTGGCAGTGTCCACCTGTGTCCTGTAGTCCTCCCTGTAACTGAAGAGGCCCTGCGTCCGCACAGTCCTCAGCGCCCCATACTGGGTCGGGGTACTGGGCTCCGAATGCCGCTGGAAGGAGGATCCGAACTGCAGGCCCTTGTCCTCCATGGTGATGTGTCCAGGGAAGCCCTCCAGCTCCAGGTCAGCCTGTACAGCTGCTGTGACACTGTTTGAGCGCTTGAAACGACCATGCCTGGGAAAGGAGGGCAGGAGAGAGAGGAGATGCAGCCTCGATCCCAGACCCTTCACGGGACACTCCGAGCTTCAGCGCTAACACCCACTGACAAGTTCAACTCCCCGTGCTGTAGTTGAACTTCAATAGCTACCTAACTCACTTTCTAGGCAACACCCATTTACTTTTCATGTAGATTGAGTAAGGGAGAGGGAGAGCTCTGTCTACCTTCTATCTAGAGCATGGTTCTCAACGTTCCTAATGATGTGACCCTTCAATACAGTTCCTCATGTTGTAGTGACCCCCAACCATTCAATTATTTCTTTGATACTTCATAACTGTAATTTTGCTACTGTTACGAATCATAATGTAAATATCTGATATGCAGGATATCTGATGTGTGACCCCCAAATGGGTCACGACCCAAGGTGGAGAACCACTCATCTAGAGACATGCTACGTTTATGAACTGTGGCCTAAATCTTTAGATTAGAATCTGAGTTTCCTTGCTGCCCAGATGTTTCCTGTTGGATCCTGAGGCCCTTCAGGGAGGACCGTCCCCAGTTCAGTTTCTAGGGGAGGGTTACCTGCAGCTTTCAACATAGACCCTGGTACTTTTTGCTGCTGCTGTGTAGTTGGCAAATATATTCCTTAATACCAGGAAAATAAATTTTTTTCTGCACTATTTCAAAATAACGTCACCTAGCCAGGTGTGGTAGCACATGTCTTTAACCACAGCACTTGAAATCCCAGAGGCAGGAGGATCTCTGCGAGTTCAAGGCCAGCTTGGTCTCTAAAGTGAGTTCCAGGACAGCCAGGGTTACACAGAGAAACCCTGTCTTGAAAAAAACCATACACACATACACACAAAAATAATAGCGTCGCAGATGCACATTTGTGTTCTATAACCTTAGGTAAGACTTCTGCAATGAGACAATTGCGGGGCATAGCTGACATCCGGCTTGCCCTCTTTCTCCTTCCCCTCTTTCTGCCTGCCTGTGTTTCTCCTCTTTCTCCCTTTTTAGGCCCAGCATTAGAGATGAGAAACACATTTGCCCTGCCCTTCAGCCTACTCTCCTTTTGAAAATGGATTCTGGATAAAGGACTTTGACCTTCCAGGGCTGTGAGCTATGATGCTATTTTAATAGGTGGCAAATTACTTTGAAAAGAATTATTCCTTTCCGTCTTAAAAAAAAAAAAAGACAGGACCCATGTTCATTCATACTTGAGCAACCTAAATGGGAAGAATAAATGAATGGCCTGTCTCTGCGGGCAGCATGAATTACTGCCAGCCAGGGCAGCCAGACCTGGACTCCTGCAGCCCAGTGTTTAGCAAGCGGCTGGCTTGGGGGACACAGCCACTCCGCGGGGGCGGGGGAGTTACCGCTTTTCGTCTTCTACTTGCACACCAACAGAGTGGTACTCCCGAAGGCCTCTGCTCTCCGTGTCGGAATCCGTGGCTGTTTCTACCTAAGTCAACACAGAACATCTCACTTTAGATCTAAGGCAGGGGATCTGGTCAGCTGCTATTTTCTTCACGTGCGTTTGCTGTAATTTTGTCTTTGTTTAAATCAATGCATAAATGCACTTCATCCAGTAGAAACAGAGAGGGAGAGAGACATTCATTTTTGTACAATTATGTGGCTACAGGGGTTTCATTGAATTTTTACATAACTACTTGAACTCAAGGCTGCACTTGAGTCTTTTAGACATATGCAGATAAAATTGCTTAGTTCAGCTCAGGCCAAAAAAAAAAAAAAGTCTTTGCTGACTGCATTGTCACAGGACGTGAAAACTCTTGTCACACTCTGCAGTGAAGAAGGCAAACACAGCTAACGATGACAAGTAAGCAATTTAAGAGGAGTGTACTGATGGCTGCAGCCACACACGGAACGACACGGGGAGGGACGAGAGCACCTTAGGGGACAGGAGGAAGGCTTGTGGCTGCTGGGGTGGCCAGCAGGTCGCTCAAGGTGACAACAGAGACAGACATCCTCACCATGGCCCCATTTGCTAAGAAGTTCCCGCGAACCCACCAGGTGTTTGTATGATTGTCAGCTATGGGAAGCTGTTACACAAGGGACCCCTGCGCAGGAAATTTCGTGAGGCCAAAGCTGGTGAAGCTGTGGAGATCCTTCCAGGCACCCAAAGCACCATCTGAGGCATCTACAGGACTGTTGAGCCCAAATCCAAATGTCGTAATATAAAAACACATTGTCCTAAAATTTTAAGTCACTACCAGGAAGTACAAAGCAGTCAACACCTTGCCACTGTACCCTGTGTGTTTAGGAGGAGAAACCACTGGCCCAGGCCTGACTGTGGTCTGTGGCTGCTCCTCCAGGCCCCATGAGACCAGGGGACATGGTAGTCGTGTTTGTGTGTTATTTGCTTGACTAGGAGCCTGATAAGGCTCGGTGTCCTAAGCTTTGTTGCTTACAATCTACACAAAGACCCCAGTGATGTTCCTAGAGAACCAGGAAAAGTAAGTAACCTGTCCAAGGGCACTCAGTTTATTGCAAGCAGTGCCAGGATTCTAGCCCAGGTTCCCATGACCTCGGAGCTCTGTTCTGCACCCCTCATAGCCAGGGGAGTCTCAGAGTACCTACATTGCTAATCACAGGGTGGGGGCTGGAGACTTCCTGTCCCCATGAAACAGCATTTTACAAGAGGGTAGATGCTGGATGGGAGATCAGTGCTGCCAAGTTCCGACAGCTGGAAGGAGGGAAGGATCGAGTGCAGGAAGAACATTCTGGAATGACAACCTGACCTTCCTGTTAGGGGTCACCATTCTGTCTCCTATTTCTATGTGGTCATGGCCCCATTCAATCCTATGTGCCTTGCTGGTCACGCAAAAGACCTCACTATGAATTAATATATTTAAAATTCTATGTCAGGGCACAGGGAGCTACCATTTATTCATTCCTACATCCATTCGTGTCTTTCGCCAGGGGTAGAATCAGGGGCTCTACATACACTAGGCCAAAACTCTACTACTGAATTCCATCCTGGCACTGCCTTGTGTTTTAACTATGTACAATTCTATGCCATGAAGGAAACTCAATTTACTTATTTAGTCTTCACTGGAGGGATAGTTTGGTTAGATCTAGCTCTCCGCCATTGTTCGTGATGTTTCTTATAAATGTACTTGAGCAAACCTCTGGGAACACCTTCATATGATCCACGGCTGTTTAGTCATTTTTACAGCTTCTAAATTTTTACCACTTACTGTTTTGAGGCATGATCTTACTATGTTACCCAACCTGGTCTCAAACTTCTTATTCTCTTGCAAGGTTTGGGTTATAGGCACACACCTCCACGTTTGGATTTATATCACTAAAATTGGAAGATGAATAATGTGAGTGAAGTAAATCAACATGTATCTCTGAGAGGTTTTGAAGCGGAAACAGTATATATTCTTGTCATAAAAATATTGAAAACAGTTGTCTAATTTACTTCACTCCTGGGAATGCTGCTGAAAGAGCCGGTAATGCATTTTGACCCATGCGAGGTCTTCATCATAGTATTATTCGTAAGGGGAAATGTGGGAAAACAGAGGCTGTGAAAGGACTGTTCAGTAAATCATTATTTAGTCACAATGATGGATACCCTGCAATTATTGAAATGATGGCTGTAAAGTTAAAGATATAAAAAAATGGTTTTGGTGGAATTAGACTAAAGTGCATGAATTGGCAAGCATCATTGGCCACAGTGTTAGGAGACATCCATATATGTTACGTGTACACACACACACACACACACACACACACACACACACATAGACACATACACACTGACACATACACAGGTACAGACACATACACACACACAGACACATATACAGTCACGCACAGAGACACACACAGGCACACACACACAAGCACACACAGAGAGACACATCCTACACAGTGACTAAAGGATGACAGTGGGTGTGGTGGTGACACACACCTTTAATCCCAACACTTGGGAGACAGAAGTGTATCTACGAGCTGAAGACCAGCCTGGTCTACAGAGTGAGTTCCAGGACAGCCAGAGCTACAGAGGGAAACCCTGTCTTGAAAAACAAAGAATGAGAGGTCCCAAGCCCCCAATTTTTGCTTCTAATGCAAGCCAATTTTGCGGTGACTCTAGAAAGGCACGCTTTTAGACCCCTCAGTTCTGCTCTAAGCTAGTGGTCCATTAGGAAACTCTTTTGAGTACTGTTGAATTTTTGCCTCTTTGTTTAAAAATGTGGAATATCCATTACTTCCCAGGACACAGACCAGTCAGGGAGAGTGGTCTGAAACAAACTCTACAACTTTTCAGTGCAACGAAGGACCCCCAGAAGAGAGTCACAGTGCCGACGAAGGCCCTCAGGAGAGCTGCATGCAGGCTAGGTCAAAGGCATGCACACTGGATGAGCTTTGCCAATTTTATAGAAGTTGTCATATGAGCAAACCTGCTCACCAGGGTGGATACATTCAAAACACTGTGCATAATGTCTGCATACACCCATGTCTACAAGATCCATCTAGGATGGAGAACTCATCCAGAGAAAGATGAATCAGTAAAGTCCTGAGTGACTCTGGAGGCAGAAGCTGTATCGGTGGTGGGAGCTCCCCAATAAACAGTGAAGAACAACATATAAACAAGTAATTCTGAGGTGACTGAGAGGGGCCTTTACACTCCCAGGGATGGCTACCCCCTTTTCTTGCCAGGCTACATACCGAGGGAAGTAGTGAACGGGAACCATGAGATAGGGTGGGTGTGGCCTCTGTGGATACGGTCTGCTTGAGAAATAGGGAATTTGATGGAGATGGTCTACATGTGTCTCTGAGCATGTGCATGTATGTATGCACTGTGTGGTTGTCTGCATGCTCAAGAGGGAAAGTGACAGGCAGATGCCTGAAGCATTCTTTCCTGGACCCACGTTTTCTCTCACACCAGATCAGGTTTGGCACCAAACTGCAGCAAAGCAGCTGGAGCCTGGGGTGGAAGCTGGGAGCAGTGAGATTGCCCAGGAGTACACCTAAGCTTCCATATGGAATCTTTGCTCTCCAAACAGACAAGCTCCGTTGGCTCTGTCTTGTAAGCCTTCCCCAGAGCAAGGCAGATGTATTGCTTTTGAGATTAAACTCATTGTTTCCTTCAGGGGCCCATTCTAAGTCCTGCATCTAAACAGGATGTCTTACTGAGGACCTGGGGGTTCCAACTTAACAGCAGTATGTGTGAGCATGCATGTGTGCATGTGCATGTGTTTGTGTATGTGCATGCATGTGTGTATGTGCATGTATGCGTGCCTACGTGTGTGTGCATTCATGTGTGCATGTGTGTGCATGTGCTTGTGTATGTGCATGCATGTGTGTATGTGCATGTATGCGTGCCTACGTGTGTGTGCATGCATGTATGTGTGCATGCATGTGTGTGTGTGTGTGCATACATGCTTGTGCCACTTGCCAAGTGCAGAATAGGGATAGTCATTTCAGTAGGGTCCTCCGCAGGAATTGTCACAAAGGCTTCCTGAGGTGGTGCTCATTGTGGCAGCTTGGGAAGCACCTTGTGATTGTTCCCATGGGAATGAAGACTTCTGCCTTCTACCCAGACAGCTGCACAAGCATACACATCCACACAAAAAGAAGACCTTTCCACAACAGACACTCCATAAACAGATAAAACTACATACCACACTAAGCCAAAACAAACAGGAGAGGATTCAACAGGCCCATCATGGTGAAGAGCGCTAGAGCCAGAAGACAGGTAGCTCCAGGCCTCATGACCTGTGACGGCACTAAGGATGCAGCCTCCTCTTCTCACCCCGGGACTGGAAGTGTCAGCTCCAGATCTGGTTTAAAGTCCAGAGCTCTGAAGAACCAACCACGCGTTCCTAAGGTTGAATTCACTGTGTAGGGTCCAACCATCTAAGGAACAGGGGTGTGGAGTACGTGTTTACTCCAGGCTCAGCAGAAAGGGAGGACAGGATCACAGGGGTGGTCATGTAAAGAGCACTAGAGGAACCACACTGTGCAGAGCCCAGCAGGCTCCATTTAGATCCCGGAGTCTAGTTGTTAAGCGGTGTTCCTTTATTTTTAATTATGTGTATGTTTGTGCCTGTGTGCACGGGAGTGCAGTGCCTGCGGAGGTCAGAGGCCTTGGGTCTCTTGGAACTGCTCTAGACTGTTCGAGTTGTTCCTATCCTCTGCCGTCTCTCCTGGCCCCTGGATCCTAGTTTTGAGTGCACAGGGTCACATGATACCTGCAGACTAGGAGCAGTTACTCCAGGAGCCAATGGGCCATAATGTTCATCAGGGATAAGCTCTCTGCTCAAGTTTCCCCAGAGAAGGAAGTCTCTGGGTGTGGTGGTTTAAAGAAAATGGCCCCCAAAGGGAGTGGCACTATCAGGAGACGTTTCCTTGTTGGAGGAAGTGTGTCACTGTGGGGGTGGGCTTTGAGGACTCTCTTCTCAAGCTTCACTCAGTGAGGCAGTCAGTCGACTTCCTGTTGCCTCTGAGTCAAGATGGAGCACTCTCAGCTCCAGCACCATATCTGCCTGCACACGGCCCTGCTCCCTGCTGTGATGATAACAGACTGAACCTCTGACACTGTAAGCCAGCCATCACAATGAAATATTTTCTGTATAAGAACTGCACGGTCATGGCGTCTCTTCACAGCAATAAAACCCTAGCTATGACCCTGGGTAACTGGGCCAGGCAGGAAGCAGTGCCCTCCAGAGCTAGACACCATGTTGATGGCCTTTCTCTACGAGCCAAGGATCGGAGTAAGGCCGTTCCTGGGTCAGGCAGGTTGGATAATCCCAGCAGGGCACACGGGGATTGCTAAGGCAGGCTCCTCTGATACAGAATTGCTCTGGGCAGCATAGCTCTGTCAGGGCTGTGGGAGGTCACGACTGGGCTTCATCCGTTGTGGTGGCACTCACAGCCATGCACTCTTAGGCAAGGCACTTACCCTCCCTGGTCAACTGCTTCTCTCCATTGCTTCAGAATAATGACACATGGTCTACAGGGTCAGTAGTGAGGATTAAGTAAGACCATGTCAGAGAGTTAGGGGCAGGGGCATAGCACGAGCTTATTTACTTGTTTACAGAGAGTTAGCACCAGATTATTTACTTGTTTATGCCTGCTGCTTCCTGTCTCCCAAGCATCGGCTTGTCTCTGGATGTGTATGGAAGGCCTTTCACTTGTTTTAAAAGGTCACTCCTCTGGGTCTTCATTCTTACTGGTGGAGTTGGGACCTGGCCACACCTCCCTGTTTACCCTGACACTTAACGTTTCTTCCACTACATTTGGAGTTCAGCTTTCCAATTGATTTTAATTGAGACACCTGGGAAACTCCAGGTTCCTGTAATTTTGTTTCCCTTTCTCCACTGAAAGAGGAAGTTACCAATTGGTGTCATGGTGCTCACATGTATCTCCACCAAGCATTCACCACCAATACAGCCATCCACTCCATACCCAACATGAACTGAAGGTTCGCTATGTGCCAGGCACTGTGCTAGGTGCTGAGGTACCAAGAGGCAGGAGGCATGGACCCAGCCTCCAGAGAACACAGTGAGGGAGGAGACTGCCTAGAAACATTCAGAGGAGGAGACCTGGCCAGAGGTATGTGGGGTTCAGCTGCGAGGAGGAGACAGCGTGTGTGAGTTCAGGAGCAGGCCCAGCTATGAGGAGAACCGGGAAGTGTTGTGCCCCTTTGGAGCAAAATGGGCAATCTTTTTTTTTTTTTTTTTTTTTTTTTTGAGAATTGTTATGTACACACTGTTCTGCCTGCATATAGGCATGCCGGCCAGAAGAGGGCACCATATCTCATTATGGATGGTTGTGAGCTACCATGTGGTTGCTGGAAACTGAACTCAGGTCCTCTGGAAGAGTGGGCAGTGCTCTTAACCTCTGAGCCACCTCTCCAGTCCCATGATGATCCACTTTTATGAGCTCCTGAAACCACACCCACCCCTTTTAGCTACACAGAGGAGAGACTTTCTCCTCAGTCCTTGGGTGGGCCATCAATGGACAATGGTGGAAAGAATACCAGGGAGTGTTTGAAGATCTGGTAGTGAATGTGTTCTGGTGTGTTTGGAGAATTCTGGCTCTTTACAACAGATGTGCCTAGAGACGGACAGAGACACAGCAGATGTCTCACACTTCCCTAGTTTCTAGGACCCCACAGGCTCCCAAATTTGTCTTTCCCCGGGCTTGGGGCTGAGTTATTCCGAAGGGTCAGCGAGGGTTCTGGGCAGCAGTGTGAAACACCCAGCAGAGTGCCTGGCACATAGAGCCAGGACAGAGAGGTGACAAGAGCAGTCATATGAAGAATCCAAAGAAGAGAGAAAGAAAACTTCATGCGAACTTTTGGAGATGTTGGATACTTACATCTGACCTTGGGTAGGGTTGATGATCAGGGAATTCAGAGTCCTAAACAAAACAATGAAGCCACAGTGTGGAGGCCTGGCCAGTGGGCTGACACCCCCCCGGTTTCCGTCTGTCCCCCCAGTCTGTACGGGGCTGTCACTTTCAGCTCAGTGTACCTCCTCCGTGTGTGTGTGTGTGTGTGTGTGTGTGCGCGCGCGCGCGCGCGCGCGCACACACGCACACACACGTGTGGAAAATTAGTCATCACGATTTCAAAACCTGCCAGACATGGGCTGAGCGGAGGTACAAAGAGCAAGAAGGCAAGCTACGTCAGCGAAGCTTGGCCTGCACAACCGTGTCCACTAGGGCTTGGAGGAGGTCACTTGAGACCACTTGAAGACAGGCCCCCTATCCTGTGTTGAGTGTGTTTCCCCACACCGGAGTCAGGCTCCCTGAGTCAGGTGGGGAGTGGCAGGGCCAGCCAGGCTGGGATGGTGGAGCACCCTTGCAAGGTTTCAGATATCAAGGTAGGTAGAGATCTCTGGGACAGAGGGCTGTGTGAGAAAGGGCCTAGCCGCACACAGCCCCGGCTGGACGCACCCATAGCTCACACCACAGCTCTTGGATCTGTTTGCCCTTTTGTTCCCAACACTCCTTGAGGACTGCAAGGTTTTCCACAAGCCACTGTGACAGCATCCCCTCACCCCACCTCAGAGGCATCTGAAGAACCTTATCCAAATCATCTACCTCCCTCAGCCCCGAGGACCACCCCTCTGGGGGTTCCCTAGGTATCAGGACAGTGCACGAGTCTGTGAAGTAGGCTCTGCTCTGGGGTCCCTCATGCTGTAGCAGGGCCGGTGTGGCCCCTCAGCCTTTACTGTCCTGCTTCTGTTAAGGGGCCAACGACTTGGGGCTGGGACTTGAGCTTTGACTCAACCTGTGCCGCCAGTTCAGAGAGGGTGGTCAGGGGAGATTACCTGAACCCCGATGGAGGAGCAGCGGCTTTTGAGGAGCTCTTCGGCCTTGGACACCAGGATGGCCTTGTCACCGGTCCTCGCGGAGCCAGCCTGAGTGTCAGCGGCATGGCGCTGAGCTGCAGCTGTTTCCAGGGCCAAATTCATGGCCTTGTTGCTGTCCAGACTGTCCATGGAGTTGTAAAGCCCACGGCTCTCTTGGGGCCACGGGGACATCCTCTGGGCACGGCTGTCCTGGTAGGCGTCCTGTGTAGATTCCGTGCTGCTCTGGGCCGTCACGGAAATCAGAGGCTTGGAGGTGGTCCGTGGAGGCACCGGAGGAGGCGTCTTCTTGTAATTTGTGTAGGAGACAGCTATAAGAGAAGGTGGCTCAGTCAGTTAAGTTCCTCTGTGGAGCTGGTCTACAGCTCTGACATGCACACTTCTCACAGCCCCGTTAGTCTGTTTCTGGACATCTGGCCTTAGAAAATCAGGCAAAATGGGAAAGATACTGTTGTGCTTAAAGATATCTGTGTGGATATATATATATATATATATATATATATATATATATATCAATAGAAAAAATTATAAAAGGACCTAAAGTACCCAGGAATGCAAGTTAGAAGCAGGCGCGCGTGTGTGCACGCACGTGTGTGTGTGTGTGTGTGCATGTATCTGTGTGTGTGCATGTGTGTGTGCATGTATCTGTGTGTGTGTCTATGTGTGTGCAGGGCAGATCACTCTACACCACTGACTTCACAGAGGTCATGGTGTTGTGCTAAAATCCCCTTTTACCACACTAGGTGAGGAAAGCAGGCAGGGCCTTGATTCAGAGACAAGAATGCAATGCACACACAGGGAATCACTGGCATGAGAAACCAGTGTCAGTCAGACTTAATGTTGAGTGACAATATGTGCAGTTTCTCTCTTCTGACTGTATCTTCTAAAACAAAATCTTCATAATGAGTAGCTCTTATTTAACACTGACAAATGAAACAAAGCAACCTTATCATGGTAGCGTATTCAAGTTGACGAGTAGCAATGTTTTCCAAAGAGCGTGGTGGGAAGAGTCAGGATAGAAACTGGTAGAGAGATGGGTACCATAAATCAGATTGAGCTTTGTCTGCCCCAGAGAAAACACCTGAATTCTCCTTTCTTTTTCTTTTCTCTGAAGAGCTTTCGCTAACATGGACCCATCACTTAAGCACTGAAATCATTCTCCATACCATTTTCAGATTCAGATACATACATACATGGAAGGATTCTTGCTGCACTATGCTGACATCATCCACTGTTACTTTTCACAAATACCCAAGACTCACACTCCTCACCCTCCCTCCACTCCTTAGGCCCAGGGTTCCCAAACTTGGAAAGCCCATGTTATTGTCTGCAGTACTGTTTTCTTTGGTATGTGATTCACCCCGTGGAATGGCATCCCCTTCGGAGATGTCTGGGTGTCTCTTGGAATTCCAACTCTCCCTCGCCTCATTGGTTCTGAAGTATGGCTGGTGAGACGTCTGTGTGGTATCTCCTTTGTCCCTCATTTCTCTGGTCCCAGAGCCGTCTGAGGTCTGTGTGACTAAGGTTCCTGTGCTGGGTGGGACGTTCAGGCTCTTGAGTCACTATTCTGTCCCACGTCCTATCTCACCCTCCCTGGGAGCTCCCTGCCCTACCTCTCTGCCCCACCTCTGCTGTCTTCCCACTCTGCTCCTTCCTGTCTCCACTCTGCCTCTGATGGTGCCGCCTCTCCAGATCTTTCCTGAACCCCTCCACCAACGACCGGCAGCCCCCTTCACCCTCTTTACTGATGACCGTTTGTTGGGGTCTGGATTCTTTATAGTCTGGGGAACACTGATCTTGGTTTACCCTCTGTCCCATGGATGGAAGATAATTTCATCCCATATTTGCTGAAGACCCACAGTGCAGTCAAAGTCACCAAACAGAAGACTATAGGGATCCCGGAGCTTAATTTTAAAATAGGAATGCTATGCGCTCAGCATGGGACACAGACAGAGAAAAGCCACATGCCTTGAAAGGTGATTATTTTTCTTTGTCTATAAAATTTTTGAGAATTGGTGATTGTGCTTCTCAGATAATGAAGGTAAAAGGCAACAACCTAAACACGTCAAAGCTAATTCAGAACATGTTTGGGGGGCAAGGAATAAACACTGCAAGTTCCCATGTGTGATTGCTGGACAAGGCAAGGTGTAGCTAGGAAACTGATCAGGCCAGAGAGGTTGGCGGTGGCTGGAAACTGCTGGTGGGCACTGCCTTTGGCCTCTCTGAATCTCCACGGGGTAATGTGTGTGGTCTGGGAGAGCAGAGGAGGTGTAGAAAGGGCAATAGTGAGACCTCTGTAATGGGGTTCAGCTTCAGAGGTCAGTGTGAAAAGGAGGTCACCCACTCAAGCACATGTAAGAAGAGCCTTGGGTAAACCAGGCTCTCCCACGAGGATTCATTGAGCATGGGCACTGGCAGCTTTTGGGAGTAGGGCTCCAGCATTTGTCAGGGGTTGGGCCGAAACAAGCAGGGACCAGGTGCTGGACTCTGAGAGCCCTGTTCAGAAGGCTTAGACATCAGGGTCTATAATCACTTGTTCCAATGGGCTGCACAGATTTTTTTTTCTTTTGGCAGACGTGGATGATCTGAATCTATACCAGAGATTCAGAGCTACAGAAATCCCAGTTCCCAGGACAACATCTCCATAGAGTGGCTGGCAATGGTGTATGTTGTGTGGGTTCTGGTTTCTGGTTAGATTTAAGCTAGGTTAGAAGGAGGCAGTATCATACATGTAGTGACCAGTCTGAGAGGGGCAGATCCAACCAGGAGGACACTTGGGTACCAAACCAGGATCTACCTTTCACAGGGCACAGAACACACCTGTCAGGTACCACAGTTTCTAATTTTTCTGCATGTCTCATTTGTGAACTGAAGTGGGATTTGGGTATAGCATATGTATCTCAGGGAAGGGTCACTCAGTGCCCAGCTCACTTTGAGTGGGTCAGAGAAGGCTCCAAAGTAGTACCTGGGCAAGTTACAGGCAAACAGAAGCTTTCTGGGTTGGTTTCCCATCCTTCTGTGTTGGAAGAACAGTTGTTTATAGCTGTAGTGAGCATGCCATTCCTTTCCATCAGGTGACCTTGGAAGTGTCTGGTGATGTTTCTGAGGGTAGAGATGGGGGGCTCTGGCATCCCCCAGATGGGGCCTACTGATGCTTCCAAATACCTGGGGTGTTTAGATCCACCCTACCATGGGGACTTCTTCATTCCAAGGTCAACAGTGATGAGGCTGGTGGCCTCAGAGGAGCCAATCACTCTGTCTTTCCATATGACTCTTGTGCTCTGAGGTCAAACATAGGGACACACGTGTACAGGCAAATCACACTGCCTCCTGGCCCTCGGCTTTGGTTACCTTGGTCAGCATGGGTCTTGCCAAGTTTGAGATGACTGGATTAGAGAACATTCATTCATCCATGGAGGTCACAGTCCATTTAGAGTCTTCCCTTCATTACGTCCTTAATAGCTTTGTAGTTTATTTACCCAGGACACAAACGCCGCATGCGCACACTCACAGGAGAAATGGTAGGCCCACCTAAGAAGAGTATTTAGAGTAGTGGTTCTCAACCTTCCCAGAGCTGTGACCCTTTCATACAGTTCCTCATGTTGTGGTGACCCCTCCCCTAGCATAAAATTATTTATCTTGCTATTTCATACCTGCAATTTGATACTGTTTTGAATCATAATGTGAATAATTTTTGGAATTTTGGAGACAGAAGTTTGTCAAAGGGATCGTGACCCCTAGGTTGAGAACCACTGATCTAAGAGTCTCTACATAAGAGCCCTGGAAACTAGCTGGGTAGCCACACTCACGTTGCTACTTTGATGTGGTTTGTGTTAAGGGAGGGTTTATCCTTTCTGGATGCATCCTCGTCTTGCTTGACTGAAAGCCGCAGAGTCATGTGGAAAACATGGAACCTGACTGTGGGCTGTGCTCTAGGTGACATACAGAGTCCATGCAGCTCCATGTCTCTGAGCAGGGATACTGATTTCTGGGAAGTTTCATGGTCCTGCGGATGCTGATTGTAAGGAACATAGACTCAGGAAGCATCAGATATTTGCACAGAGGGCTGGGGAGATGTCTCAGTGAGTAAACCACCTGCCAAACAAGCAGGAGGACCTGGTTCAAATCGCCTAATACCTACATCAAGAAAAACCCAGGTACAGGGGAGCGTGCCTTAAAATCCTAGAACCTGGGAGGTGTAGCTAGGAACTTTGGGGTTTAGTCAAGTCAATGAGCTCCAGATTTGGTCAGAGATCCTGTCTCTAAAAGTACAGTGGGTTGAGGAAGGCATTTGCCCTCTGGTTTCCACATGGTTCCAAATGTGCGTGCGCGTGCGCACACACACTCATGCATGCACGCACGCACACACACACACAGAGTACGTATCAACATGGTTAAACCGTTGTGTCTGTCCTATTGCAGTTCTACTTATCTTCACACCACGCTGGAGAATTTCAAGCCTCCTATCAGGTGAACTCCTAGAAAGTGAAAGTTGTTTGCAGTTGGCCTTTCCAGGAAATTTGAGAAAACACTCAAATTCACCTTCATACCTGTCCAAGAAAGCATCCTATAACCTCCCAGTTCACAATGCAGAACCCACTGAGTGTGTGTAAGTAAAAAACAACATAGAAAAATATAGCAACCCAGACTCTGTGGCTTCACAGTCCTTTAGCAAATCGGCAGCATAATTATAGGGACTCTTAGGACTGACCTCAGAGAAACCAAACGCATGCCTTCTCACTGGTGACACATTTGCTATAGGGTAAAGGTAGGAATCTTGAACCTGGTCTTTGTAGGATAGGAGCTACAAAGTATATAGTGCTCATGAATTAGCAGGTACCTCTCCCTGCCAAACTCAGAGAAGGGCTTACTATGTTGTAGCAGGGAGGCAGGAGCCTTGACCTTTCTTGAGTGACAAGAAAAAAAAAATAGCTTAGCAGCTTTCAGAGCGGTGTCTGTGTAATGCAAGGCTGTGTGTCACCGACTCCAGCTGGGCTGTGATGCCTATGTGGAGGGGACAGAAGTAACATCTACCTGGGGCCAGTAATGCAGTGTCGGGGATTGCCTTGACTGGTTACAGTCAGATCATTTGAAGAGAGACCTTTCTTGCTGCAGAAATAAAACACAAATTCCTTCAGCTACCATATTTTCCTGTTAAACCTTTTTGAAAGTCAATCCAAATGTATGTATTTTTAATTGCTAGGAAGTCACCTGCACTGCGGTAAAACCATGTAATTACCAATTTTCACAGTTAATTCATGCCTGAGTATTTTTTAACCCACCTGATGTCCTCAGATCCAGATGAAGGGTC